ACATGTTCAGATGGCTATTGCTTCACAGAAAACTAGGTATTTTGACAATCCTCTTGCCCATGGAGGTAATTTATACAGTAACAGCCTCTTTTATTGTGGGATTGGGACAAGCTAAGGGGATAATTTCCTTATCAAACACATCCTAAGTCATTTGAAACAGAAAGTTTTGTACTTCAGTTAAATGTTCCTCAGAGTGAGGCTGGTAATTGAAGAGTTACTAGTGCCCTGTGGGTGTTCTGAGACGTTGAAGTCAGTATGAGCCCAGCCGGCAGCTCCGTGATGTGAATTCAATGAATATATAACTTTTTTTTTCTTGGTCTAAAGCTTACGGATGTGAAGTTTGTCACAGCTATAACATGCAGTGAACTTTACCTACATGTTAGTGCACATGTATGTTTCTTTGCCGGATGTTTTGCACTTTTATATTTTGTTCTCTAAGTTCAAGTTTTGTTGTGTTTTGTTTAGTCACTCCGTTTATCCAGCAGAGACTCAGAGCAATTGGGTGAAGTTACCCACTTCTCTTGGCCCTGGCCGTTCTATCTGGCTTGCTCTGTAAGCGACATAAGATTTAAAAAGCTGACATCACAAGCAACATTTTTGCCCGGTGCCTTATTGGAATTGACTTGAGATGAATATATTGATCCCATTTCTACAAGGCAAGCTGGCTTCAGTTTAGAGGTGACTCCATCCAGACCCTCTTGTGTTATGTGGGTGACATAGATTTGACTGGTGTCAAGGAGCTTTTTAAAATTAGAGCATGTAGGTACAGCTGAGATTGTTTATCTGATGTGAATAAACACAGGACTGTTACTGCATTCCCAATCATGGATTTCACAAATGCAAAATCCAGGTTCGATAATATGTGTCATTTGGTGATTGCCTTTACCTAAGTGTCTTACTGAGATTGAAAACATTTTAATGAACAGTGCAAGTAGACAATAATTTAAGAATTTATCACCAATTTTTTTTTAAATTATGATAAAAGTGAAATATTGCAGTGTCTATACTGAAACAAAAGGTCTAATTAAAAGCTGCTTAGCTGATATAAGTATTAACCCTCATCATAATGTAACAACAATACTGTACATGTACTTGGAGGACCTCACATCAAGTGCAAAGAGAATTTATGGGAAGCTATGGACACTAGATGATGCAAAATATTCTCAGGAGCTGGAAAAGAAGAAAATAAGCATAATTTTATGTAACATTTTTGGACAATGCTCTTGCTGTTGCCCACTATCAAATCATTATATCACTATAATAAATGATCAATTGTGAGCTGACGGTGTCCACTTTCATGGCCACAGGTCCCACCACAAATTTCCTTCCCCCATTGTGTGAGTCCTGCTCTCTCAATCAAGACATCCGAGTCCTGCTACGAGTCCCAGATTAATACCGCTGCCTGTGTAGTTTTGTTTTAACTGTCTTCAGTTAAATGAGAAATTAAGAGGCAAGAGATGCAGTAGAGGCTAATAGCATTTATTAACCCAGCGTGAACGGGCAGCGGGGTGAGCGCAGTCCTCCGCCAGCCCTGTCTAGTCCTGGTGGCTCAGTCAGCGTAGCCCACAGAGGAGAGTTGAACATAATAAAAGCCAACAAATGTACCCAGCTGATTAATGCAGCCCTGTGGCTATAGTAATTATCCCTCTCCACACTCCTCCAGCAGACGAGCCAAACAAGCGTGTGGCAGCGAGAGGGAAGTGTGCACATGATAGATCTGTGGGATCCAGTGTCTGTTCAGTGAGATTCATGTAAGTAGGTGGGTAAAGACACTTTTTTGTGGCTTTGGTGGGGATGGAGTTGAAGCTCTGCTTTTATGCAGAGGGTTCAAGGTTTTGTGTTTAAGCAGAATATAATTGGGAGCTTCAAAATCTAAATTTGATTTGATTTGATTTAGGAATGCGCAGTACACATCGTCACATTAATAACAGCAGATTAATAGCACAATTAAACATAATTATAATCTGTCACCTTGAGCTCTGAAAGTCCCTCTTACTTTTATCACATTTATACTGTATATAAGATTTTTTATTTTGATATACCTTTTTAATGACTTCCAAAAGGGTGTGACAAAAAACATGATCAGACTTAGAGTCTATAATTGCTTTTATTTAACTAACAGTTATATTGATATTGAGGAAACTACTGAATAAAAAATAAGATATGGCTCTTCCGCTGTATGAACTATATTTCTACAATATGTTATTTCACTTTATCATTAATCTTCAGCTGTTTTGTGTTTCCTTAAATCTTCTATGGAGGAAAAAAATTGAATTTGAATGAAAATGAAGCTTCTTCAGCTAAAATGTATCTGGGAGTCCACTTGTAACCATTCAAATAATTTATAAGAAGGTCTTCTATGGAGGAAAAAAATTGAATTTAAATGAAAATGAAGCTTCTTCAGTTAAAATGTATCTGGGAGTCCACTTGCAACCATTCAAATAATTTATAAGAAGACCAACATTGCCTAATTTGTTTTTAAGTAAAAGAGTTATTGGTTCTTTCATTGATTTTTTTATTTTTTTTTATTTTTTTAACTATCAGTAATTTGATTAAGCAGCTAGAGGCTGCATGGTTAGTTCAATAAAATCCAAAGAAGTGCCAGCTATTTGAGTTGTGTTTGGTTGATGTGATATATGTCAAATAAAACTTTACAGTCGCTGCAAACCACATAACTCTAAGGCACGTGTGTCTTCTCTTTTTTTTCAATTTTTATTCTGTTTTCTAGTAATTCATTTCAACTATTCTTTGTTAAATTTTGTTTGTCTGTGAGTGCTTCTTTTGTTTTGTTTTTTTGCTATAAAAAGTTGACATGCAGCAGTTGTCACTAACACAGTGAGCTTCCTGCTTAGCCACATGGTACAGTGTCACTGCTCAGAGGTCAGAAAGTCGGACATAAATACAAGTTGCTAATGAATCAGGAACTTAATTACACCCAGTGTGACAGAGACTGTGTCCATCAACCCAACACAATGTGTAATTACTATGCGTTGACGGTTAACGATTGGTTCCCTTTCACTTTTAAGAGAACGCACAAGGATTTGCACAGCCGTTTAAATCTCAGCATTTCTGATCTGCTTTTGGAAATGTTCTGGTCAGTTACAACACAGGCTTCATGTTGTTGTTCATCAGTGCACACATATTTAATTGTGCATATGGTACAAGCCTAAATTTCACTCCAAAAATAAGACCAGCATTCGCTTTTCTTGGCTAAATTAAAGCCACACCGCAGCAGTCAGAGATGCTGGAGAAGGAGAATACATCTGTGAGAATGAACAACAGAAGATAAGAGTGAAACCATTATGAAAACATAAACTGCTGCCTTAAAGTGCTCAGTGATTCAGTTCCAGACTGGCTGTGATCTGCTTAAAGAAAATCTGTTTTGCTTAAATACAGACTTAATGACTGGATTGCTGTTTCTTGGTTTGGCGATAGCGTGATAGTGGGATTACAGATTGTGCGTTCAATAGATTTCCTGTCAGATGCCATGAAGCCCGGTGTCCCCTTGCTGGGCGGCTGATAGGGAGGAGGGCAGATGAGTCCAGGATGTACAGTGTGGCCCAACGCAGCAGACCGCCAATACAAGAACAACAGTGGAGCAGAAGAAATAAAAGCACTACATTTTTTTAAGTGAAGAGACTAAAATAAAACAATCCTGAGAGATGAGAATTTCAATGTTTATGAACTTTTTCAAGTTAAAAATGTGCTTAATAAACCAAATGGGTAGCTGCACTTTGATCAGATTTATTGTAGTTTAGATGTCTTCAGTGTTAATTTTGAAAACTGACAACAACACCAGAGATTACCTGTATATTTCCACATTAGTTTTTAACTAAATAATTTTTTTAACTAATTAATTTCCTGTTCAATATTCAACCCTGATATTTATGTCATTCATTATACGTCTTTTCTCTCTACCTCATTCAAAACATAAACATATCTCCTCTATTGATTATGACTGGAAGTCTTAATCAGATCAGCAGGAGTAGCCTGGATTTCCTCCACAGGAAAGTATATTAAATGCCAAAATATTGATCAAAAGTTTAATTGAGAAAGCACAACTCCTTTATTAAAGCTTCTAGCCTTTGCTCCTGTGACTCTGATCTGGACTGACATGAAAAGAAAACATTCAAATTTGTAATTCCTTTTTATTTAAAAGACAGTTGGGAAACAGAGTCTGTCCTGAGGCTTCTGGCAACATGGCAATGCTGTGATCAATAAGAGCGTGTGATGGGTTTTGTATCGATCAGGAAAATGTGGGTTGATGAAGTGGGTTGGATTGGGGAGGGGTGTTGGGCTTTAGGTTTCCTTTGATGGCTGCAGCATGACAGACATAGCCAAGATCCACACAGACATTCTGTTGAGTCCTCAACATTATTATCATTCCTGTCGAGGTCATTATCACTCGCAGGTTCTTACATCCTGCCTCTGTCAGGACTGGTAGATCCCCTCTCTTCACAGTGTGATTGGTGGAAAGCTGTGGGAAGCGGCTGCCATAACTTTGAAGGAAGGTAGGCCGTGGAAAGTCAGACCCATGGTGGAGAGGATGAAAGAGTAAAGGAACAGTTTAGCTCTATAAGCTGGCACTGAGCCCCTTAAAGCACAGTAAACAAACCTGTTTAAATCACACTTAGTGAACGTGCTGCTACTTCCGTTGCTTGCCAGTTATTACTGACCTCTTCAGTTTAGTTCTGCAGTTGTAAACACAAACTGTGACCCCAGTGATACTCTGTGCATCCACCCATCCCTCCACCCATCCATCCAGGGGGTCTGCCTGTGTCTCTGTGCTTTGCAGCGCTCCCTTGTGAATGACTGGACACTGACTGGTCATCCATTAGCCCGTCCCATCTCAATTATCTTTCATCCCCATTGGCTGTTCTCTGGACAGCCTTTCTGAAACTGGCCAATAGCAGCTGTTCCATATGCTCCAACCCACGCCCTGCTGCTCTTAAAGAGCCCCGATATGTTCAATGGAGACTCAGTCCCCTCACTGACTTCCTCAGCCTGAGTGCGCTCTCACCACTGCTGCTCTCCATCCATCTGTCTCTTATCTTTATTCTCTCTTCCTCTATCCATCACTCCCCTGATCTTTGTCATTTCTCCTCTTTTCTCCTTTCCTGTTTCCTCTCTTCATCTCTGCCTCTTTTTTCCTCTCTCCTTATTCTGTGCCATCACTAAATCCACTCTTTGTCTCTCCAAACGTAATCCTGAGCTTGAGTGTGCAGCACCTGTGCAGACTGGAGTTTGTCGGGCTGAGACACAAGGGTTTTTTTTTTTATTATTATTTTTTTCTGTTTATGTGTTGAATAGAGGAGGGAGGGGAGACAACACCCAGGAACACCTGACCAACATTTCAGCAAGATATGAGGCGGCTTAGGAACTGATCTCCTCCTCCAGCATTTCTCCAGCTGTTTATCTTTTTTTTATTGCAACACCTGGAATGCTTATCGTGGAGTGATGGATGTTTCCGAACTGTGCATCCCCGATCCCCTCTGCTACCACAACCAGTAGGTGCATCTCTTTTTCCCTTCTCTTTATTTTTCATCTTTACTTTAGTTCCTTCTTTAGGTGACAGAATTTCATTTACTTTTTACCCTCTATTTTTATGAAATAAGCAAAGCACAAAACAGGAGGACAATCTGTCTTTAAGTGGTTGGTGAAAAGAATCTCATGTGTAAAGTGAACAATTTCAAAAGACAAGGAGTTCCTCGCATTATCTCAGCTCCACCTCCCCACGTACGGGACAGCAGAGCTCAGTTATGTTAGTGAGGCTGCGGTAGCGTAGCCTGCAGGGAGTCCAGCCCGGAGCGCTGCCCCACAGCTGCTGAGCTCTGCATCAGGATTTGGGGTTTAACCTCAGCCACAGGGGAAGAGCCAGAGGCAGATTAATGCGGATGATATCCAGACGACGATCTTCTGGCAGCAGCTTCTGTGCTGCGCTGTCCCGGGAAAAGAAAACTGTTACGATAGCGTCGCCTGGTGTGTGTGTGAGAGTGTGTGTTGTTGAGAGAGATGAGTGTGATTAAGGAGGTTGATAAATGTCTGGCAGTGTTTCCTTAAACCTTTATTTGCTTTGAAGTGATTTGTGAGTTTGGGCTTTGCTTAGTTTTGCTGCTGACCATTAAATCGTGCTAAAATTCAACTGACAAAGAGATACGATCATCTCCACAGTGGCCAAAATGCAAGTAAGTTTAGTTAAAGATTGAAATACTGCTCATATTATTATTGTGTATTTAGTTCAAGCAGGGATTCTTTTATAGGCAATGAAAAGTCAAAGAAACTCTCAGACTGGTCCTTAGTGTTTCGTTGCTACGCTCCTTGCATGCCTGGAAAGACGCTCTCCTTTCAGACAAACACGACTGTACCAGGAGACCCTTCATTAGGTTCCTCATAATGCTAAACTGTAGATGAGCCTGGAAAGGTTTTACCTGCTTAGCACTGTGTTTAGGAATATTTGAAACTGCAAAAGACTTTCTAAAAATAAAAAAGGAGACATTTCTGTGATTTTAAACAAGTTAATTTAGTTGAGTATACAACTGCACTGGAGTTATCACTCCTGATACATGCAATCAGAAAAAAGCTCATGAAAGTGAAATGAAATCATGCTTTGATTTACTTCAGACACAACTGAGCAACTGCATATACAAAATTAACATAATCTACAGTATTAGCAGCAGTTATTTCAAAGCTATTATAGACTTTCTGCACTTTTCAGAATTGTCATAATATAATAAAAATGTACATATTGTTTATTTGTTTTTGTTTTTTTTTGCTACCATACACATTTGCACAGATGTAACAAATGGAGGGTAAAGCTGACACTGTGCAATACACACATTATATGGGTGCACATAAATCTAATTTAATTACTGCCCAAATTTCTCTGTGAATAGATAGAAATTTCTCTACAAGTGTAATGTTTCATCACAAGTGATTAGAGAATGTCATTTACTTTTATGTGAGCTATCAAAACAACTGACCTAGGTCTCATTTCTTTTTAATGTGTTTAAAGTTATCAAGTTTCATATATTGTCTGTTAAGGCGTTGACATTCAATATTGCGATTGCTGTGCAGGTTGCAGATGGAAAAAACCTACAACCCTGAGCTCTTCTTTTTTGCACAGTCATCAGTTTCCACAATCTCTGAAACTGCATTTAATACACAACTATCCAATGAAAACTGTGACCTTAAATTATTATTTGTATTACATGTTTAAAAGAATTTTAAGATAAATTTAAAGGATAAAAAAGATAAAGGAAACACTATGATGCTCTTAACCAGTACTGACCCTCAGCCAGATTTGTGTGTGTGTGTGTGTGTGTGTGTGTGTGTGTGTGTGTGTGTGTGTGTGTGTGTGTGTGTGTGTGTGTGTGTTTGCAGCACTGTATGTTTGTGTACATCTGCATGTATACCCTACATATATGCATCCAAAATAGGCACGTGTTCAGGCAAGTCTCTAGCTGGTTAGGTACTTGTATACATCTATACATACAGTACATGTATATGGCAGTGTGTTGCCTTGCAAACAGTGCGTAAATGTAAATGTTTTAAAGCTTTCAGACTGTCTCCTTCGTTACTCCAGGACTGCTGGGTCACACTTGATAGGCCAGCACTTTTTATGACACACTAACACTGGTGTTGTCTAAAAGAAAAACCCCACAAGCACACAAACAAATGCGGACTTTCTACAAACTCACCCATCTACATATATCTTGTCATCATAAGTGAGCTTTTCCTCAGATTAATTTAATTTATGCTGGTTATATTTTATTTGTGGAGAGCACAACATGGCTTTAAGCTTTAAACCACAATGTGACAGACAGTAAATGATTCAAAAAAGTGTCTTGAAGTATTTTAAACATAGTGTCAGACAGCTGACAAAGTAGTTGTACTTGCATGCTGTAAATATGTGCTTTTGGTGTCACCTACTGTAAATCTGCATTTAGTTTGGGAGTCTAGGGAACGCCGTTAAAACCCCTTGAGGACTTTTGGATCAGTGACCACCCTAGTGGCCCAAGGAGAAAGGTCTCTCTCACACCACACCTCTTCTTTTAGCTTGCCAATCATTTCACATGATAGCTAGGAATAATTCATAGATATGCACATATACCTGTAACTATGTAGTAATGATTATTTATACTTTAAAGTTGATGCTTTTTAAGGAGAATATTAAATGACTCACAGTTCAGACATTTTGATGCTACAGTGCTTTCTCTGTGCAAAAATGGAAAGCGAATGTTGCAACTGTATATACTGTATGTTTAAATACTACGTTATGATAAAATATTTTAACTGCTGTCTTTCTTGAACCAAAAATGTCTAAAACTTTCATTGGTATATAATTAAAAGGTGTGGATTAAATAATAAGTCTATTAAACTGTGTAATTCACTCAGAAAATCTGCACTGTTCACTTTTCAGTCAGCTGACACCATTTGAATGTTCTGCAGAGACAAAAATTAACCTGTGTTTTCTACTTGTATGTATATATTTGGCATTCTTTCATGGTCAACACTCCTTTTCTTAGACACATAGTAGAATGTTTCTGTATGAAAAACAGATTTTCCTATTTTTTTATCTTTAATTGGTACAGTATTAAAACTATCAGCCACCTGTTATCGCTATGATTAGCCGTGGTTTCATTGTAATTAGCCATGACACTGAAAACTGCGTCACTGTAAAGTTTAAGCATTGGTTTGTTCCAGTAAGTCACATCCATTTTTCTCTCAGTCCACCTGCTGGCCTCACAGTTGCCCTTCACCAGCAAACAAACACAAATGCAAAAAAGGTCAAACACGCACATACACGCATGAAAAGACACACACATATGTGTGCTCACGGATGAGACCAAAGAATCACACACTGACCTGGGATCTAATTTTAGCAGTGCCGTATCATGGAAACACCTGACTGTGTCTGTAAAAAGAAACACATCATCTTATTATGCGTCGCATCCGCATGTATCATACAAGTGGTCACGCTGTATCTGAGGGGCGTCGTCATTAATCAGTGTCATTAATACTGTTGTTAATATCTCAAAAAGTAAAATGATAAAAACATCATGGTCCAATGATTTGTCTTTCCAAAAGTCATGACTACAGAAATACACTTCCCAGTTGATTTTTATCATAATACAAACCTTTATTTTTATCTCTTTTTCTGGACAAGAATGCCACATAATGA